TTTGCATGGTATAGGAGCTTGCCTGCTCGAGGAGCTTGCCTGGTCTAGGAGCTTGCGTGGTCCAGGAGCGTGCCTTGTTCAGGAGTTTGCCTGGTCGAGGAGCTTGCCTGGTCCAAGAGAGTGCTTGGTCCACGAGCCTGCTTGGTCCAAGAGCTTGCCTGGACCAAGAGCATGCCTGGTCCAGGAGCGTGCCTGGTCCAAGACCTTGCCTAGTCCAGGAGCTTGCTTGGTCCATGCCTGATCGAAGAGCTTGCCTAGTCCAGGAGCCTGCCTGGTCCACGAGCGTGCCTGGTCAAGGAGCTTGCGTGGTCGAGGAGCTTGCCTGATCCAAGAGCTTACCTGGTCCAAGAGCTTGCCTGGTCCACGAGCCTGCCTGGTCCAAGAGCTTGTCTGGTCCAGGAGCGTGCATGGTCCCAGAGCTTGCGTGGTCCAGGAGCTTGCCAGGTCCAAAATCTTGCCCGGTCCAGGAGCGTGCCTGGTCCACAAGCCTGCCTGGTTCAGGAGCTTGCCTGGTCCAGGAGCTTGCCTAGTCGAGGAGCTTGCCTGGTCCAGGAGCTTGCCTGATCCAGGAGCTTGCCTGGTCCATGAGCTTGCCTGGTCTAGGAGCTTGCCTGGTCCAGGAGCTTGCGTGGTCCAGGAGCTTGCCTTGTCCAGGAGCGTGCCTGGTCCACGAGCTTGCCTGGTGTAGGAGCTTGCCTGGTCCAAGAGCTTGCCTGGTCCGAGAGCTTGCATGGTCCAGGAGCTTGCCTGGTCCAAGAGCTTGCCTGGTCCAGGAGCGTGCCTGGTCTAGAAGCTTGCCTGGTCCAGGATCTTGCCTGATCCAGGAGCGTGCTTGGTCCACGAGTTTGCCTAGTCCACGAGCTAGCCTGGTCCAGGAGCTTGCCTGGTCTAGGAGCTTGCTTGGTCCAGGAGCGTGCCTGGTCCAGGAGCTTGCCTTGTCCAGGAGCTTGCCTGGTCAGGGAGCTTGCCTGGTCAAGGAGCGTGCCTGGTCCACGAGCCTGCCTCGAACAAGAGCTCGCCTAGTCCAAGAGCGTGCGTGGTCCACGAGCGTGCCTGGTCCAGGAGCTTGCCTGGTCCAGGAGCTTGCCTCGTCCACGAGCTTGCCTGATCTAGGAGCGTGCTTGGTCCAGGATCTCGCCTAGTCCAGGATCGTGCCTGGTCCACGAGTTTGCCTGGTCCAGGAGCTTGCCTGGTCCAGGAGCTTGCCTGGTCTAGGAGCTTGCCTGGACCAGGAGCGTGCCTGGTCCAGGAGCTTGCCTAGTCCAGGAGCTTGCCTGGTCCAGGAGCGTGCCTGGTCCAGGAGCGTGCCTGGTCCAGGAGATTGCTTGGTCCAGGAGCTTGCTTGGTCCAGAAGTCTGCCTGGACCAAGAGCTTGCCTGGTCGAGGAGCGCGGCTGGTCATAGACATTGCGTGGTCCAGGAGCTTGCCTGGTCCAGGAGCTTGCTTGGTCCAGAAGCGTGCCTGATCCAAGAGCTTGCGTGGTCCAGGAGCGTGCCTGGTCCACGAGCGTGCCAGGTCCAGGAGCTTTAGTGGTCGAGGAGCTTGCCTGATCAAGAAGCTTGCCTTGTCCAAGAGCTTGCGTGGTCCAGGAGCTTGCCAGGTCCAGGAGCTTGCAACGTCCAGGTGCGTGCCTGGCCCACGAGCCTGCCTCGTCCAGGAGCTTGCCTGGTCAAGGAGCTTGCCTGGTCCAGGAACTTGCCTGGTCCCGGAGCTTGCCTTGTCCATGAGCTTGCCTGGTCTAGGAGCTTGCCTGGTCCAGGAGCTTGCCTGGTCTAGGAGCTTGCCTGGTCCAGGAGCTTGCCTAGTCCTGGAGCTTGCCTGGTCCACGAGCGTGCCTGATCCACGAGCTTGCCTGGTCCAAGAGCTTGCCTGGTCTAAGAGCTTGCCTGGTCCAAGAGCTTGCGTGGTCCAGGAGCTTGCCTGGTCCAGGAGCTTGCCTGGTCTAGGAGCGTGCCTGGTCTAGGAGCTTGCCTGGTCCAGGATCTTGCCTGGTCCAGGAGCGTGCCTGGTCCACAAGTTTGCTTGGTCAAGAAGCTTGCCTGGTCCTGGAGCTTGCCTGGTCTAGGAGCTTGCCTGGTCTAGGAGCGTGCCTAGTCCAAGAGCTTGCCTGGTCCAGGAGCTTACCTGGTCCAGGAGCTTGCCTGGTCCACGAGCCTACCTGGTTCAGGAGCTTGCCTGGTCCAGGGGCTTGCCTGGTCTAGGAGCATGCCTGGTCCAAAATCTTACGTGGTCCAGGAGCGTGCCTGGTCCACGAGTTTGCCTGGTCCAGGAGCTTGCCTTGTCCACGAGCTTGCCTGGTCTAGGAGCTTGCCTAGTCTAGGAGCTTGCCTGGTCCAGGAGCTTGCCTAGTCCAAGAGCTTGCCTGGTCCAGGAGCGTGCGTGGTCCACTAGCTTGCCTGGTCTAGGAGCTTGCCTTGTCCAGGAGCTTGCCTGGTCCAAGAGCTTGCCTGGTCCAAGAGCTTGCGTGGTCCAGGAGCTTGCCTGGTCCAAGAGCTTGCCTGGTCCAGGAGCGTGCCTGGTCTAGGAGCTTGCCTGGTCCAGGATCTTGCCTGGTCCAGGAGCGTGCCTGGTCCACGAGTTTGCCAGGTCGAGAAGCTTGCCTGGTTCAGGAGCTTGCCTGGTCTAGGAGCTTGCCTGGTCCAGGAGCGTGCATGGTCCAAGAGCTTGACTGGTCCAGGAGCTTGCCTGGTCCAGGAGCTTGCCTGGTCCAGGAGCTTGCCTGGTCCAGGAGCGTGCCTGGTCTAGGAGCTTGCCTGGTCCATGAGCTTGCCTCGTCCAGGAGCTTGCCTGGTCTAGGAGCATGCTAGGTCCAAAATCTTGCCTGGTCCACGAGCTTGCCCGGTCCAGGAGCTTTCCTGGTCCAGTAGCTTGCCTGGTCTAGGAGCTTGCCTGGTCCAGGAGCGTGCCTGGTCCAGGACCTTGCCTAGTCGAGGAGCGTGCCTGGAACAAGAGATTGCGTGGTCCAGGAGCTTGCCTGGTCCAGGAGCTTGCGTGGTCCAGAAGCATGCCTGATCCAAGAGCTTGCCTAGTCCAGGAGCGTGCCTGGTCCACGAGCGTGCCTGGTCCAGGAGCTTGCGTGGTCGAGGAGCTTGCCTGATCCAGGAGCTTACTTGGTCCAAGAGCTTGCTTGGTCCACGAGCCTACCTGGTCCAAGAGTTGTCTGGTCCAGGAGCGTGCATGGTCCAAGAGCTTGCGTGGTCCAGGAGCTTGCCAGGTCCAGGAGCTTGCAACGTCCAGGTGCGTGCCTGGCCCACGAGCCTGCCTCGTCCAGGAGCTTGCCTGGTCAAGGAGCTTGCCTGGTCCAGGAGCTTGCCTGGTCCAGGAGCTTGCCTTGTCCATGAGCTTGCCTGGTCTAGGAGCTTGCCTGGTCCAGGAGCTTGCCTGGTCTAGGAGCTTGCCTGGTCCAGGAGCTTGCCTAGTCCTGGAGCTTGCCTGGTCCACGAGCGTGCCTGATCCACGAGCTTGCCTGGTCCAAGAGCTTGCCTGGTCCAAGAGCTTGCGTGGTCCAGGAGCTTGCCTGGTCCAGGAGCTTGCCTGGTCCAGGAGCGTGCCTGGTCTAGGAGCTTGCCTGGTCCAGGATCTTGCCTGGTCCAGGAGCGTGCCTGGTCCACAAGTTTGCTTGGTCAAGAAGCTTGCCTGGTCCTGGAGCTTGCCTGGTCTAGGAGCTTGCCTGGTCCAGGAGCGTGCCTAGTCCAAGAGCTTGCCTGGTCCAGGAGCTTACCTGGTCCAGGAGCTTGCCTGGTCCACGAGCCTACCTGGTTCAGGAGCTTGCCTGGTCCAGGGGCTTGCCTGGTCTAGGAGCATGCCTGGTCCAAAATCTTACGTGGTCCAGGAGCGTGCCTGGTCTACGAGTTTGCCTGGTCCAGGAGCTTGCCTTGTCCACGAGCTTGCCTGGTCTAGGAGCTTGCCTAGTCTAGGAGCTTGCCTGGTCCAGGAGCTTGCCTAGTCCAAGAGCTTGCCTGGTCCAGGAGCGTGCGTGGTCCACGAGCTTGCCTGGTCTAGGAGCTTGCCTTATCCAGGAGCTTGCCTGGTCCAAGAGCTTGCCTGGTCCAAGAGCTTGCGTGGTCCAGGAGCTTGCATGGTCCAAGAGCTTGCCTGGTCCAGGAGCGTGCCTGGTCTAGGAGCTTGCCTGGTCCAGGATCTTGCCTGGTCCAGGAGCGTTCCTGGTCCACGAGTTTGCCAGGTCGAGAAGCTTGCCTGGTTCAGGAGCTTGCCTGGTCTAGGAGCTTGCCTGGTCCAGGAGCGTGCATGGTCCAAGAGCTTGACTGGTCCAGGAGCTTGCCTGGTCCTGGAGCTTGCCTGGTCCAGGAGCTTGCCTGGTCCAGGAGCGTGCCTGGTCTAGGAGCTTGCCTGGTCCATGAGCTTGCCTCGTCCAGGAGCTTGCCTGGTCTAGGAGCATGCTAGGTCCAAAATCTTGCCTGGTCCACGAGCTTGCCCGGTCCAGGAGCTTTCCTGGTCCAGTAGCTTGCCTAGTCTAGGAGCTTGCCTGGTCCAGGAGCGTGCCTGGTCCAGGACCTTGCCTAGTCGAGGAGCGTGCCTGGAACAAGAGATTGCGTGGTCCAGGAGCTTGCCTGGTCCAGGAGCTTGCTTGGTCTAGAAGCATGCCTGATCCAAGAGCTTGCCTAGTCCAGGAGCGTGCCTGGTCCACGAGCGTGCCTGGTCCAGGAGCTTGCGTGGTCGAGGAGCTTGCCTGATCCAGGAGCTTACTTGGTCCAAGAGCTTGCTTGGTCCACGAGCCTACCTGGTCCAAGAGTTGTCTGGTCCAGGAGCGTGCATGGTCCCAGAGCTTGCGTGGTCCAAGAGCTTGCCAGGTCCAAAATCTTGCCCGGTCCAGGAGCGTGCCTTGTCCACGAGCCTGCCTGGTTCAGGAGCTTGCCTAATCCAGGAGCTTGCCTAGTCTAGGAGCTTGCCTGGTCCAGGAGCTTGCCTGATCCAGGAGCTTGCCTGGTCCATGAGCTTGCCTGGTCTAGGAGCTTGCCTGGTCCAGGAGCTTGCCTGGTCTAGGAGCTTGCCTGGTCCAGGAGCTTGCCTGGTCCAGGAGCTTGCCTGGTCCAGGAGCGTGCCTGGTCCACGAGCTTGCCTGGTGTAGGAGCTTGCCTGGTCCAGGAGCGTGCATGGTCCAAGAGCTTGCCTGGTCCAGGAGCGTGCCTGGTCCACGAGCTTGCGTGGTCTAGGAGCTTGCCCGGTCCAGGAGCTTGCCTGGTCCACGAGCTTGCCTGGTCCACGAGCTTGCCTGGTCCAGGAGCTTTCCTGGTCTAGGAGCTTGCCATGTCTAGGAGCTTGCCTGGTCCAGGAGCGTGCCTGGTCCAGGAGATTGCTTGGTCCAGGAGCTTGCTTGGTCCATAAGGCAAGCTCGTGGACCAGGCACGCTCCTAGCTCCAGGACTAGGCAAGCTCCTGGACTAGGCAAGCTCCTAGACCAGGCAAGCTCCTGGACCAGGCAAGCTCCTAGACCAAGCAAGCTCATGGACAAGGCAAGCTCTTGGACCAGGCAAGCTCCTGGACCAGGCAAGCTCCTTGACCAGGCAAGCTCCTGGACCAGGCAGGCTCGTGGACCAGGCACGCACCTGGACCTTGCAAGCTCCTGGACCTGGCAAGCTCCTGGACCACGCAAGCTCTTGGACCAGGCACACTCCTAGACCAGGCAAGCTCTTGGACAAGGCAAGCTCCTGGATCAGGCAAGCTCCTCGACCACTCAAGCTCCTGGACCAGGCAAGCTCGTGGACCAGGCACGCTCCTCGACCACGCAAGCTCTTGGATCAGGCACGCTTCTGGACCAAGCAAGCTCCTGGACCAGGCAAGCTCCTGGACCACGCAAGCTCTTGGACCAGCCACGCTCCTCGACCAGGCAAGCTCTTGGACCAGGCAGACTTCTTGACCAAGCGGGAGAATGGGGCGTGGTGATGGAAAGCGGGAGAATGGGGCGGGGTGATGGGAGAATGGGGCGGGGTGATGGAAAGCGGGAGAATGGGGCGGGGTGATGGAAAGCGGGAGAATGGGGCAGTGTGATGGAAAGCGGGTGAATGGGGTGGGCTGATGGAAAGCGGGAGAATGGGGCGGGGTGATGGAAGGAGGGAGAATGGGGCGGGGTGATGGAAAGCGGGAGAATGGGGCGGGGTGATGGAAAGTGGGAGAATGGGGCGGGTGATGAAAAGCGGGAGAATGGGGCGGGGTGATGGAAAGCGGGAGCATGGGGCGGGGTGATGGAAGGAGGTAGAATGAGGCGGGGTTATGGAAGGAGGGAGAATGGGGCGGGGTGATGGAAAGCGGGAGAATGGGGCGGGGTGATGGAAGGAGGGAGAATGGGGTGTGGTGATGGAAAGCGGGAGAATGGGGCGGGGTGATGGAAAGCGGGAGAATGGGGCGGGGTGATGGAAAGCGGGAGAATGGGGCGGGGTGATGGAAAGCGGGAGAATGGGGCGGGGTGATGGAAAGCGGGAGAATGGGGCGGGGTGATCGAAAGCGGGAGAATGGGGCGGGGTGATGGAAAGCGGGAGAATGGGGCGGGGTGATGGAAAGCGGGAGAATGGGTTGGGCTGATGGAAAGCGGGAGAATGGGGCGGGGTGATGGAAGGAGGGAGAATGGGGCGGGGTGATGGAAGGAGGGAGAATGAGGCGGGATTATGGAAAGCGGGAGAATGGGGCGGGGTGATGGAAAGCGGGAGAATGGGGCGGGGTGATGGAAGGAGGGAGAATGGGGCGGGGTGATGGAAAGTGGGAGATTGGGGCATGGTTATGGAAAGCGTGAGAATGGGGCGGGGTGATAGAAAGCGGGAAAATAAGGCGGGGTGATGGAAAGTGGGAGAATCCGGCTGGGTGATGGAAAGCGGGAGAATGGGGCGGGGTGATGGAAAGCGGGAGAATGGGGGGGGGGTGATGGAAGGAGGGAGAATGAGGCGGAGTGATGGAAGGAGGGAGAATGGGGCGGGGTCATGGAAAGCAGGAGAATGGGGCGGGGTGATGGAAAGCGGGAGAATGGGGCGGAGTGATGGAAAGCGGGAGAATGGAGCGGGGTGATGGAAAGCAGGAGAATGGGGCGGGTGATGGAAAGCGGGTGAATGGGGCGGGGTGATGGAAAGCAGGAGAATAGGGCCGGGTGATGGAAAGCAGAAGAATAGGGCGGGGTGATGGAAAGCGGGAGATGGGGCGAGGTGATAGAAAGCGGGAGAATGGGGCGGGTAATGGAAAGCTCGAGAATGGGGCGGGGTGATAGAAGGAGGGAGAATGGGGAGGGGTGATGGAAAGCGGGGGAACGGGGCGGGATGATGGGAAGCGGGAGAATGGGGCAGGGAGATGGAAAGCAGGAGAAAGAGGCGGGCTGATGGAAAGCGGGAGAATGGGGCGGGGTGATGGAAGGAGGGAGAATGGGGCGGGGTGATGGAAGGAGGGAGAAGGGGGCGGCGTGATGGAAAGCGGGAGAATGGGGCGGGGTGATGAAAAGCGGGAGAACGGGGCGGGGTGATGGAAGGATGGAAAATAGGGCGGGGTGATGGAAAGCGGGAGAATGTGGCGGGGTGATGGAAAGCGGGAGAATGAGGTGGGGTTATGGGAAGCGGGAGAATGGGGCGGGGTGATGGAAAGCGGGAGAATGGGGCGGGGTGATGGAAGGAGGGAGAATAGCGCGGGGTGATGGAAAGCGGGAGAATGGGGCGGGGTGATGGAAGGAGGGAGAATGGGGCGGGGTGATGGAAAGCGGGAGAATGGGGCGGGGTGATGGAAAGCAGGAGAATGGGGCGCGGTGATCGAAAGCGGGAGAATGGGGCGGTGTGATGGAAAGCGGGAGCATGGGGCGGGGTGATGAAAGGAGGTAAAATGAGGCGGGGTGATGGAAGGAGGGAGAATGGGGCGGGGAGATGGAAAGCGGGAGGATGGGGTGGGCTGATGGAAAGCAGGAGAATGGGGCGGGGTGATGGAAGGAGGGAGAATGGGGCGGGGTGATGGAAAGCGGTAGAATGGGGCGGGGTGATGGAAAGCGGGAGCATGGGGCGGGGTGATGGAAGGAGGTAGAATGAGGCGGGGTGATGGAAGGAGGGAGAATGGGGCGGGGAGATGGAAAGCGGGAGAATGGGGCGGGGTGATGGAAAGCGAGAGAATGGGGTGGGGTGATCGAAAGCGGGAGAATGAGGCGGGGTGATGGAAAGCGGGAGAATGGGGCGGGGTGATGGAAGGCGGGAGAATGGGGTGGGGTGATGGAAAGCGGGAGAATGGGGCGGGCTGATGGAAAGCGGGAGAATAGGGCGGGGTGATGGAAGGAGGGAGAAAGGGGCGGGGTGATGGAAGGAGGGAGAACGGGGCGGCTGATGGAAGGAGGGAGAATGGGGCGGGGTTATGGAAAGCGGGAGAATGGGGCAGGGTGATGGAAAGCGTGAGAATGGGGCAGGGTGATGGAAAGCGTGAGAATGGGGCAGGGTGATAGAAAGCGGGAAAATGGGGCGGGGTGATGGAAAGTGGGAGAATGGGGCTGGGTGATGGAAAGCGGGAGAACGGGGCGGGGTGATGGAAAGCGGGAGAATGGGGCGGGGTGATGGAAGCAGGGAGAATGAGGCGGGGTGATGGAAGGAGGGAGAATGGGGCGGGGTGATGGAAAGCGGGAGAATGGGGCGGGGTGATGGAAAGCGGGAGAATGGGGCGGGGTGTTGGAAAGCGGGAGAATGGGGCGGGGTGATGAAAAGCGGGAGAATGGGGCGGGGTGATGGAAAGTGGGAGAATGGGGCGGGGTGATGGAAAGCGGGAGAATGGGGCGGGTGATGGAAAGCGGGTGAATGGGGCTGGGTGATGGAAAGCAGGAGAATGGGGCGGGGTGATGGAAAGCGGGAGAATGGGGCGTGTAATGGAAAGCGGGAGAATGGGGCAGGGTGATGGAAGGAGGGAGAATGGGGAGGGGTGATGGAAAGCGGGGGAATGGGGCGGGATGATGGGAAGCGGGAGAATGGGGCGGGGTGATGGAAAGCGGGAGAATGGGGCGGGGTGATGGAAAGCGGGAGAATGGGGCAGGGAGATGGAAAGCGGGAGAAAGGGGCGGGGTGATGGAAAGCGGGAGAATGGGGCGGGCTGATGGAAAGCGGGAGAATGGGGAGTGATGGAAGGAGGGAGAATGGGGCGGGGTGATGGAAGGAGGGAGAAGGGGGCGGGGTGATGGAAAGCGGAAGAATGGCGCGGGGTGATGGAAAGCGGGAGAATGGGGCAGGGTGATGGAAAGCGGGAGAATGGGGCGGGGTGATGGAAAGTGGGAGAATGGTGCGGGGTGATGGAAAGCGGAGGAATGGGGCAGGGTGATGAAAAGCGGGAGAATGGGGCGGGGTGAAGGAAGGAGGGAGAATGGGGCGGGGTGATGGAAAGAGGAAGAAGGGGGCGGGGTGATGGAAAGCGAGAGAATGGGCCGGGGTGTTGGAAAGCGGGAGAATGGGGCGGGGTGATGAAAAGCGGGAGAATGGGGCGGGGTGATGGAAAGCGGGAGAATGGGGCGGTGTGATGGAAAGCGGGAGAATGGGGCGGATGATGGAAAGCGGGTGAATGGGGCAGGGTGATGGAAAGCGGGTGAATGGGGCGGGGTGATGGAAAGCAGAAGAATGGGGCGGGGTGATGGAAAGCGGGAGAATGGGGCGGTCTGATGGAAAGCGGGAGAATGGGGCGGGGAGATGGAAAGCGGGAGAAAGGGGCAGGGTGATGGAAGGAGGAAGAATGGGGAGGGGTGATGGAAAGCGGGGGAATGGGGCGGGATGATGGGAAGCGGAAGAATGGGGCGGGGTGATGGAAAGCGGGAGAATGGGGCGGTCTGATGGAAAGCGGGAGAATGGGGCGGGGAGATGGAAAGCGGGAGAAAGGGGCGGGGTGATGGAAAGCTGGAGAATGGGGCGGGCTGATGGAAAGCGGGAGAATGGGGCGGGGTGATGGAAGGAGGGAGAATGGGGCGGGGTGATGGAAGGAGGGAGTAGGGGGCGGGGTGATGGAAAGCGGGAGAATGGGGCGGGGTGATGGAAAGCGGGAGAATGGGGCGGGGTGATGGAAGGAGGGAGAATGGGGCGGGGTGATGGAAAGTGGGAAAATGTGGCGGGGTGATGGAAAGCGGGAGAATGGGGTGGGGTTATGGGAAGCGGGAGAATGGCGCGGGGTGATGGAAAGCGGGAGAATGGAGCGGGGTGATGGAATGAGGGAGAATGGGGCAGGGTGATGGAAGGATGGAGAATGGGGCGGGGTGATGGAAAGCGGGAGAATGGGGCGGGGTGATGGAAGGAGGGAGAATGGGGCGGGGTGATGGAAAGCGGGAGAATGGGTCGGGGTGATGGAAAGCGGGAGAATGGGGCGGGGTGATGGAAAGTGAGAGAATGGGGCGGGGTGATAGAAGGAGGGAGAATGGGGAGGGGTGATGGAAAGTGGGGGGATGCGGCGGGATGATGGGAAGCGGAAGAATGGGGCGGGGTGATGGAAAGCGGGAGAATGGGGCGGGGTGATGGAAAGCGGGAGAACGGGGCGGGGAGATGGAAAGCGGGAGAAAGGGGAGGGGTGATGGAAAGCGGGAGAATGGGGCGAGCTGATGGAAAGCGGGAGAATGGGGCGGGGTGATGGAAGGAGGGAGAATGGGGCGGGGTGATGGAAGGAGAGAGAAGGGGGCGGGGTGATGGAAAGTGGAAGAATGTGGGGGGGTGATGGAAAGCGTGAGAATGGGGTGGGGTTATGGGAAGCGGGAGAATGGGGCTGGGTGATGGAAAGCGGGAGAATGGGGCGGGGTGATGGAAGGAGGGAGAATGGGGCGGGGTGATAAAAGGAGGGAGAATGGGGCGGGGTGATGGAAAGCGGGAGAATGGGGCGGGGTGATGGAAGAGGGGAGAATGGGGAGGGGTGAAGGAAAGCGGGGGAATGGGGCGGGATGATGGGAAGCGGGAGAATGGGGCGGGGTGATGGAAAGCGGGAGAATGGGGCGGGGTGATGGAAAGCGGGAGAATGGGGCAGGGAGATGGAAAGTGGGAGAAAGGGGCGGGGTGATGGAAAGTGGGAGAATGGGGCGGGCTGATGGAAAGCGGGAGAATGGGGCGGGGTGATGGAAGGAGGGAGAATGGGGCGAGGTGATGGAAGGAGGGAGAAGGGGGCGGGGTGGTGGAAAGCGGGAGAATGGGGCGGGGTGATGGAAAGCGGGAGAATGGGGCGGGGTGATGGAAGGAGGGAGAATGGGGCGGGGTGATAGAAAGCGGGAGAATGGGGCGGGATGATGGGAAGCGGGAGAATGGGGCGGGGTGATGGAAAGCGGGAGAATGGGGCGGGGTGATGGAAAGCGGGAGAATGGGGCACGGAGATGGAAAGCGGGAGAAAGGGGCGGGGTGATGGAAAGCGGGAGAATGGGGCGGGCTGATGGAAAGCGGGAGAATGGGGCGGGGTGATGGAAGGAGGGAGAATGGGGCGGGGTGATGGAAGGAGGGAGAAGGGGGCGGGGTGATGGAAAGCGGGAGAATGGGGCGGGGTGATGGAAAGCGGGAGAATGGGGCGGGGTGATGGAAGGAGGGAGAATGGGGCGGGGTGATGGAAAAGCGGGAGAATGGGGCGGGGTGATGGAAAGCGGGAGAATGGGGCAGGGTGATGGAAAGCGGGAGAATGGGGCGGGGTGAAGGAAGGAGGGAGAATGGGGCGGGGTGATGGAAGGAGGAAGAAGGGGGCGGGGTGATGGTAAGCGAGAGAATGGGCTGGGGTGTTGGAAAGCGGGAGAATGGGGCGGGGTGATGAAAAGCGGGAGAATGGGGCGGGATGATGGAAAGCGGGAGAATGGGGCGGGGTGATGGAAAGCGGGAGAATGGGGCGGGTGATGGAAAGCGGGAGAATGGGGCGGGGTGATGGAAAGCGGGAGAATGGGGCAGGGTGATGGAAAGCGGGAGAATAGGGCGGGGTGATGGAAAGCAGAAGAATGGGGCAGGGTGATAGAAAGCGGGAGAGTGGGGCGAGGTGATGGAAAGCGGGAGAATGGGGCGGGTGATGGAAAGTGGGAGAATGGGGCGGGGTGATGGAAGGAGGGAGAATGGGGAGGGGTGATGGAAAGCGGGGGAATGGGGCGGGATGATGGGAAGCGGAAGAATGGGGCGGGGTGATGGAAAGCGGGAGAATGGGGCCGTGTGATGGAAAGCGGGAGAATGGGGCAGGGAGATGGAAAGCGGGAGAAAGGGGCGGGGTGATGGAAAGCGGGAGAATGGGGCGGGCTGATGGAAAGCAGGAGAATGGGGCGGGGTGATGGAAGGAGGGAGAATGGGGCGGGGTGATGGAAGGAGAGAGAAGGGGGCGGGGTGATGGAAAGTGAGAAAAATGTGGCGAGGTGATGGAAAGCCGGAGAATGGGGCGGGGTTATGGGAAGCGGGAGAATGGGGCGGGGTGATGGAAAGCGGGAGAATGAAGCGGGGTGATGGAAAGCGGGAGAATGGGGCGGGGTGATGGAAAGCGGGAGAATGGGGCGGGTGATGGAAGGAGGAAGAAGGGTGCGGGGTGATGGAAAGCGAGAGAATGGGGCGGGGTGATGGAAAGCAGAAGAAAAGGGCGGGGTGATGGAAAGTGGGTGAATGGGGCGGGGTGATGGAAAGCAGGAGAATGGGGCGGGGTGATGGAAAGCAAAAGAATAGGGCGGGGTGATGGAATGCGGGAGATGGGGCGAGGTGATGGAAAGCGGGAGAATGGGGCGGGTAATGGAAAGCGGGAGAATGGGGCGGGGTGATGGAAGGAGGGAGAATGGGGCGGGGTGATGGAAGGAGGGAGAAGGGGGCGGGGTGATGGAAAGGGGAAGAATGGAGCGGGGTGATGGAAAGCGGGAGAATGGGGCAGGGTGATGGAAAGCGGGAGAATGGGGCGGGGTGATGGAAAGTGGGAGAATGGTGCGGGGTGATGGAAAGCGGAGGAATGGGGGCAGGGTGATGGAAAGCGGGAGAATGGGGCGGGGTGAAGGAAGGAGGGAGAATGGGGCGGGGTGATGGAAGGAGGAAGAAGGGGGCGGGGTGATGGAAAGCGAGAGAATGGGCCGGGGTGTTGGAAAGCGGGAGAATGGGGCGGGGTGACGAAAAGCGGGAGAATGGGGCGGGGTGATGGAAAGCGGGAGAATGGGGCGGTGTGATGGAAAGCGGGAGAATGGGGCGGGTGATGGAAAGCGGGTGAATGGGGCAGGGTGATGGAAAGCGGGAGAATGGGGCGGGGTGATGGAAAGCAGAAGAATGGGGCGGGGTGATGGAAAGCGGGATAATGGGGCGAGGTGATGGAAAGCGGGAGAATGGGGCGGGTGATGGAAAGCGGGAGAATGGGGCGGGAGATGGAAAGCGGGAGAAAGGGGCGGGGTGATGGAAGGAGGGAGAATGGGGAGGGGTGATGGAAAGCGGGGGAATGGGGCGGGATGATGGGAAGCGGAAGAATGGGGCGGGGTGATGGAAAGCGGGAGAATGGGGCGGTCTGATGGAAAGCGGGAGAATGGGGCGGGGAGATGGAAAGCGGGAGAAAGGGGCGGGGTGATGGAAAGCGGGAGAATGGGGCGGGCTGATGGAAAGCGGGAGAATGGGGCGGGGTGATGGAAGGAGGGAGAATGGGGCGGGGTGATGGAAGGAGAGAGAAGGGGGCGGGGTGATGGAAAGTGGGAAAATGTGGCGGGGTGATGGAAAGCGGGAGAATGGGGTGGGGTTATGGGAAGCGGGAGAATGGCGCGGGGTGATGGAAAGCGGGAGAATGGAGCGGGGTGATGGAATGAGGGAGAATGGGGCGGGGTGATGGAAGGAGGGAGAATGGGGCGGGGTGATGGAAATCGGGAGAATGGGCCGGGGTGATGGAAGGAGGGAGAATGGGGCGGGGTGATAGAAAGCGGGAGAATGGGTCGGGGTGATGGAAAGCGGGAGAATGGGGCGGGGTGATGGAAAGTGAGAGAATGGGGCGGGGTGATAGAAGGAGGGAGAATGGGGAGGGGTGATGGAAAGCGGGGGAATGGGGCGGGATGATGGGAAGCGGAAGAATGGGGCGGGGTGATGGAAAGCGGGAGAATGGGGCGGGGTGATGGAAGGAGGGAGAATGGGGCCGGGTGATGGAAGGAGGGAGAATGGGGCGGGGTGATGGAAGGCGGGAGAATGGGGTGGGGTGATGGAAGGCGGGAGAATGGGGTGGGGTGATGGAAGAGGGGAGAATGGGGAGGGGTGATGGAAAGCGGGGGAATGGGGCGGGATGATGGGAAGCGGGAGAATGGGGCGGGGTGATGGAAAGCGGGAGAATGGGGCGGGGTGATGGAAAGCGGGAGAATGGGGCAGGGAGATGGAAAGCGGGAGAAAGGGGCGGGGTGATGGAAAGCGGGAGAATGGGGCGGGCTGATGGAAAGCGGGAGAATGGGGCGGGGTGATGGAAGGAGGGAGAATGGGGCGGGGTGATGGAAGGAGGGAGAAGGGGGCGGGGTGGTGGAAAGCGGGAGAATGGGGCGGGGTGATGGAAAGCGGGAGAATGGGGCGGGGTGATGGAAGGAGGGAGAATGGGGCGGGGTGATAGAAAGCGGGAGAATGGGGCGGGATGATGGGAAGCGGGAGAATGGGGCGGGGTGATGGAAAGCGGGAGAATGGGGCGGGGTGATGGAAAGCTGGAGAATGGGGCAGGGAGATGGAAAGCGGGAGAAAGGGGCGGGGTGATGGAAAGCGGGAGAATGGGGCGGGCTGATGGAAAGCGGGAGAATGGGGCGGGGTGATGGAAGGAGGGAGAATGGGGCGGGGTGATGGAAGGAGGGAGAAGGGGGCGGGCTGATGGAAAGCGGGGGAATGGGGCGGGATGATGGGAAGCGGGAGAATGGGGCGGGGTGATGGAAAGCGGGAGAATGGGGCGGGGTGATGGAAAGCGGGAGAATGGGGCAGGGAGATGGAAAGCGGGAGAAAGGGGCGGGGTGATGGAAAGCGGGAGAATGGGGCGGGCTGATGGAAAGCGGGAGAATGGGGCGGGGTGATGGAAGGAGGGAGAATGGGGCGGGGTGATGGAAGGAGGGAGAAGGGGGCGGGGTGGTGGAAAGCGGGAGAATGGGGCGGGGTGATGGAAAGCGGGAGAATGGGGCGGGGTGATGGAAGGAGGGAGAATGGGGCGGGGTGATAGAAAGCGGGAGAATGGGGCGGGATGATGGGAAGCGGGAGAATGGGGCGGGGTGATGGAAAGCGGGAGAATGGGGCGGGGTGATGGAAAGCTGGAGAATGGGGCAGGGAGATGGAAAGCGGGAGAAAGGGGCGGGGTGATGGAAAGCGGGAGAATGGGGCGGGCTGATGGAAAGCGGCAGAATGGGGCGGGGTGATGGAAGGAGGGAGAATGGGGCGGGGTGATGGAAGGAGGGAGAAGGGGGCGGGCTGATGGAAAGTGGGAGAATGGGGCGGGGTGATGGAAAGCGGGAGAATGGGGCGGGGTGATGGAAGGAGGGAGAATGGGGCGGGGTGATGGAAAAGCGGGAGAATGGGGCGGGGTGATGGAAAGCGGGAGAATGGGGCAGGGTGATGGAAAGCGGGAGAATGGGGCGGGGTGAAGGAAGGAGGGAGAATGGGGCGGGGTGATGGAAGGAGGGAGAATGGGGCGGGGTGATGGAAAGCGGGAGAATGGGGCGGGGTGATGGAAGGAGGGAGAATGGGGCGGGGTGATGGAAAGCGGGAGAATGGGTCGGGGTGATGGAAAGCGGGAGAATGGGGCGGGGTGATGGAAAGTGAGAGAATGGGGCGGGGTGATAGAAGGAGGGAGAATGGGGAGGGGTGATGGAAAGCGGGGGAATGGGGCGGGATGATGGGAAGCGGAAGAATGGGGCGGGGTGATGGAAAGCGGGAGAATGGGGCGGGGTGATGGAAAGCGGGAGAATGGGCCGGGGAGATGGAAAGCGGGAGAAATGGGGAGGGGTGATGGAAAGCGGGAGAATGGGGCGAGCTGATGGAAAGCGGGAGAATGGGGCTGGGTGATGGAAGGAGGGAGAATGGGGCGGGGTGATGGAAGGAGAGAGAAGGGGGCGGGTTGATGGAAAGTGGAAGATTGTGGCGGGGTGATGGAAAGCGTGAGAATGGGGTGGGGTTATGGGAAGCGGGAGAATGGGGCGGGGTGATGGAAAGCGGGAGAATGGGGCGGGGTGATGGAAGGAGGGAGAATGGGGCGGGGTGATGGAAGGAGGGAGAATGGGGCGGGGTGATGGAAAGCGGGAGAATGGGGCGGGGTGATGGAAGAGGGGAGAATGGGGAGGGGTGATGGAAAGCGGGGGAATGGGGCGGGATGATGGGAAGCGGGAGAATGGGGCGGGGTGATGGAAAGCGGGAGAATGGGGCGGGGTGATGGAAAGCGGGAGAATGGGGTAGGGAGATGGAAAGCGGGAGAAAGGGGCGGGGTGATGGAAAGCGGGAGAGTGGGGCGGGCTGATGGAAAGCGGGAGAATGGGGCGGGGTGATGGAAGGAGGGAGAATGGGGCGGGGTGATGGAAGGAGGGAGAAGGGGGTAGGGTGGTGGAAAGCGGGAGAATGGGGCGGGGTGATGGAAAGCGGGAGAATGGGGCGGGGTGATGGAAGGAGGGAGAATGGGGCGGGGTGATAGAAAGCGGGAGAATGGGGCGGGATGATGGGAAGCGGGAGAATGGGGCGGGGTGATGGAAAGCGGGAGAATGGGGCGGGGTGATGGAAAGCGGGAGAATGGGGCACGGAGATGGACAGCGGGAGAAAGGGGCGGGGTGATGGAAAGCGGGAGAATGGGGCGGGCTGATGGAAAGCGGGAGAATGGGGCGGGGTGATGGAAGGAGGGAGAATGGGGCGGGGTGATGGAAGGAGGGAGAAGAGGGCGGGGTGATGGAAAGCGGGAGAATGGGGCGGGGTGATGGAAAGCGGGAGAATGGGGCGGGGTGATGGAAGGAGGGAGAATGGGACGGGGTGATGGAAAAGCGGGAGAATGGGGCGGGGTGATGGAAAGCGGGAGAATGGGGCAGGGTGATGGAAAGCGGGAGAATGGGGCGGGGTGAAGGAAGGAGGGAGAATGGGGCGGGGTGATGGAAGGAGGAAGAAGGGGGCGGGGTGATGGTAAGCGAGAGAATGGGCAGGGGTGTTGGAAAGCGGGAGAATGGGGCGGGGTGATGAAAAGCGGGAGAATGGGGCGGGTGATGGAAAGCGGGAGAATGGGGCGGAGTGATGGAAAGCGGGAGAATGGGGCGGGTGATGGAAAGCGGGAGAATGGGGCGGGGTGATGGAAATCGGGAGAATGGGGCAGGGTGATGGAAAGCGGGAGAATGGGGCGGGGTGATGGAAAGCAGAAGAATGGGGCGGGGTGATGGAAAGCGGGAGAGTGGGGCGAGGTGATGGAAAGCGGGAGAATGGGGCGGGTGATGGAAAGTGGGAGAATGGGTCGGGGTGATGGAAGGAGGGAGAATGGGGAGGGGTGATGGAAAGCGGGGGAATGGGGCGGGATGATGGGAAGCGGAAGAATGGGGCGGGGTGATGGAAAGCGGGAGAATGGGGCCGTGTGATGGAAAGCGGGAGAATGGGGCGGGGAGATGGAAAGCGGGAGAAAGGGGCGGGGTGATGGAAAGCGGGAGAATGGGGCGGGCTGATGGAAAGCGGGAGAATGGGGCGGGGTGATGGAAGGAGGGAGAATGGGGCGGGGTGATGGAAGGAGAGAGAAGGGGGCGGGGTGATGGAAAGTGGGAAAATGTGGCGGGGTGATGGAAATCGGGAGAATGGGGTGGGGTTATGGGAAGCGGGAGAATGGGGCGGGGTGATGGAAAGCGGGAGAATGAAGCGGGGTGATGGGAAGCGGGAGAATGGGGCGGGGTGATGGAAAGCGGGAGAATGGGGCGGGTGATGGAAGGAGGAAGAAGGGTGCGGGGTGATGGAAAGCGAGAGAATGGGGCGGGGTGATGGAAAGCAGAAGAATAGGGCGGGGTGATGGAAAGCGGGTGAATGGGGCGGGGTGATGGAAAGCAGGAGAATGGGGCGGGGTGATGGAAAGCAGAAGAATAGGGCGGGGTGATGGAAAGCGGGAGAATGGGGCGGGGTGATGGAAAGCGGGAGAATGGGGCGGGTTGATGGAAAGCGGGAGAATGGGGCAGGGAGATGGAAAGCGGGAGAAAGGGGCGGGCTGATGGAAAGCTGGAGAATGGGGCGGGGTGATGGAAGGAGGAAGAATGGGGCGGGGTGATGGAAGGAGGGAGAAGGGGGCGGGGTGATGGAAGGAGGGAGAAGGGGGCGGGGTGATGGAAGGAGGGAGAATGGGGCAGGGAGATGGAAAGCGGGAGAAAGGGGCGGGCTGATGGAAAGCTGGAGAATGGGGCGGGGTGATGGAAAGCGGAAGAATGGGGCGGGGTGATGGAAGGAGGGAGAAGGGGGCGGGGTGATGGAAGGAGGGAGAATGGGGCAGGGAGATGGAAAGCGGGAGAAAGGGGCGGGCTGATGGAAAGCTGGAGAATGGGGCGGGGTGATGGAAGGAGGAAGAATGGGGCGGGGTGATGGAAGGAGGGAGAAGGGGGCGGCTTGATGGAAAGCGGAAGAATGGAGCGGGGTGATGGAAAGCGGGAGAATGGGGCGGGGTGATGGAAGGAAGGAGAATGGGGCGGGGTGATGGAAAGCGGGAGAATGTGGCGGGGTGATGGAAAGCGGGAGAATGAGGTGGGGTTATGGGAAGCGGGAGAATGGGGCGGGGTGATGGAAAGCGGGAGAATGGGGCGGGGTGATGGAAGGAGGGAGAACAGCGCGGGGTGATGGAAAGCGGGAGAATGGGGCAGGGTGATGGAAGGAGGGAGAATGGGGCGGGGTGATGGAAAGCGGGAGAATGGGGCGGGGTGATGGAAGGAGGGAGAATGGGGCGGGGTGATGGAAAACGGGAGAATGGGGCGGGGTGATGGAAAGTGGGAGAATGGGGCGCGGTGATGGAAAGCGGGAGAATGGGGCGGTGTGATGGAAGGAGGGAGAATGGGGCGGGGTGATGGAAAGCGGGAGAATGGGGCGGGGTGATGGAAAGTGGGAGCATGTAGCGGGGTAATGGAAGGAGGTAGAATGGGGCGGGGAGATGGAAAGCGGGAGAATGGGGTGGGCTGATGGAAAGCGGGAGAATGGGGCGGGGTGATGGAAGGAGGGAGAATGGGGCGGGGTGATGGAAAGTGGGAGAATGGGGCGGGATGATGGAAAGCGGGAGCATGGGGCGGGGTGATGGAAGGAGGTAGAATGAGGCGGGGTGATGGAAGGAGGGAGAATGGGGCGGGGAGATGGAAAGCGGGAGAATGGGGCGGGGTGATGGAAAGCGGGAGAATGGAGCGGGGTGATGGAAAGCGGGAGAATAGGGCGGGGTGACGGAAAGCGGGAGAATGGGGCGGGGTGATGGAAAGCGGGAGAATGGGGCGGGGTGATGGAAAGCGGGAGAATGGGGCGGGGTGATGGAAAGCGGGAGAATGGGGCGGGGTGATGGAAAGCGGGAGAATGGGGCGGGCTGTTGGAAAGCGGGAGAATAGGGCGGGGTGATGGAAGGAAGGAGAAAGGGGCGGGGTGATGGAAGGAGGGAGAACGGGGCGGGTGATAGAAGGAGGGATAATGGGGCGAGGTTATGGAAAGCGGGAGAATGGGGCGGGGTGATGGAAAGCGGGAGAATGGGGCGGGGTGATGGAAGGAGGGAGAATGGGGCGGGGTGATGGAATGCGGGAGATTGGGGCAGGGTGATGGAAAGTGTGAGAATGGGGCAGGGTGATAGAAAGCGGGAAAATGAGGCGGGGTGATGGAAAGTGGGAGAATGGGGCGGGGTGATGGAAGGCGGGAGAATTGGGCGGGTGATGGAAAGTGGGTGAATGGGGCGGGGTGATGGAAAGCAGGAGAATGGGGCGGGGTGATGGAAAGCGGGAGATGGGGCGAGGTGATGGAAAGCGGGAGAATGGGGCGTGTAATGGAAAGCGGGAGAATGGGGCGGGGTGATGGAAGGAGGGAGAATGGGGAGGGGTGATGGAAAGCGGGGGAACGGGGCGGGATGATGGGAAGCGGGAGAATGGGGCGGGGTGATGGAAAGCGGGAGAATGGGGCGAGGTGATGGAAAGCGGGAGAATGGGGCAGGGAGATGGAAAGCGGGAGAAAGGGGCGGGGTGATGGAAAGCGGGAGAATGGGGCGGGCTGATGGAAAGCGGGAGAATGGGGCGGGGTGATGGAAGGAGGGAGAATGGGGCGGGGTGATGGAAGGAGGGAGAAGGGGGCGGGGTGATGGAAAGCGGAAGAATGGCGCGGGGTGATGGAAAGCGGGAGAATGGGGCGGGGTGATGGAAAGCGGGAGAATGGGGCGGGGTGATGGAAAGCGGGAGAACGGTGCGGGGTGATGGAAAGCGGGAGAATGGGGCAGGGTGATGGAAAGCGGGAGAATGGGGCGGGGTGAAGGAAGGAGGGAGAACGGGGCGGGGTGGTGGAAAGAGGAAGAAGGGGGCGGGGTGATGGAAAGCGAGAGAATGGGCCGGGGTGTTGGAAAGCGGGAGAATGGGGCGGGGTGATGAAAAGCGGGAGAATGGGGCGGGGTGATGGAAAGCGGGAGAATGGGGCGGGGTGATGGAAAGCGGGAGATTTGGGCGGGTGATGGAAAGCGGGTGAATGGGGCAGGGTGATGGAAAGCGGGAGAATGGGGCGGGGTGATGGAAAGCAGAAGAATGGGGCGGGGTGATGGAAAGCAGGAGAATGGGGCGAGGTGATGGAAAGCGGGAGAATGGGGCGGGTGATGGAAAGCGGGAGAATGGGGCGGGGAGATGGAAAGCGGGAGAAAGGGGCGGGGTGATGGAAGGAGGGAGAATGGGGAGGGGTGATGGAAAGCGGGGGAATGGGGCGGGATGATGGGAAGCGGAAGAATGGGGCGGGTTGATGGAAAGCGGGAGAATGGGGCGGGGTGTTGGAAAGCGGGAGAATGGGGCGGGGTGATGAAAAGCGGGAGAATGGGGCGGGGTGATGGAAAGTGGGAGAATGGGGCGGGGTGATGGAAAGTGGGAGAATGGGGCAGGTGATGGAAAGCGGGTGAATGGGGCGGGGTGATGGAAAGCAAGAGAATGGGGCGGGGTGATGGAAAGCGGGAGATGGGGCGAGGTGATGGAAAGCGGGAGAATGGGGCGTGTAATGGAAAGCGGGAGAATGGGGCGGGGTGATGGAAGGAGGGAGAATGGGGAGGGGTGATGGAGAGCGGGGGAATGGGGCGGGATGATGGGAAGCGGGAGAATGGGGCGGGGTGATGGAAAGCGGGAGAATGGGGCGGGGTGATGGAAAGCGGGAGAATGGGGCAGGGAGATGGAAAGCGGGAGAAAGGGGCGGGGTGATGGTTAGTGGGAGAAAGGGGCGGGGTGATGGTTAGTGGGAGAATGGCGCGGGGTGATGGAAAGCGGGAGAATGGGGCGCGGTGATGGAAAGCGGGAGAATGGGGCGGGGTGATGGAAAGCGGGAGAATGGTGCGGGGTGATGGAAAGCGGGAGAATGGGGCAGGGTGATGGAAAGCGGGAGAATGGGGCGGGGTGAAGGAAGGAGGGAGAACGGGGCGGGGTGATGGAAGGAGGAAGAAGGGGGCGGGGTGATGGAAAGCGAGAGAATGGGCCGGGGTGTTGGAAAGCGGGAGAATGGGGCGGGCTGATGGAAAGCGGGAGAATGGGGCGGGGTGATGGAAGGAGGGAGAATGGGGCGGGGTGATGGAAGGAGGGAGAAGGGGGCGGGGTGATGGAAAGCGGAAGAATGGCGCAGGGTGATGGAAAGCGGGAGAATGGGGCGGGGTGATGGAAAGCGGGAGAATGGGGCGGGGTGATGGAAAGCGGGAGAATGGTGCGGGGTGATGGAAAGCGGGAGAATGGGGCAGGGTGATGGAAAGCGGGAGAATGGGGCGGGGTGAAGGAAGGAGGGAGAACGGGGCGGGGTGGTGGAAAGAGGAAGAAGGGGGCGGGGTGATGGAAAGCGAGAGAATGGGCCGGGGTGTTGGAAAGCGGGAGAATGGGGCGGGGTGATGAAAAGCGGGAGAATGGGGCGGGGTGATGGAAAGCGGGAGAATGGGGCGGGGTGATGGAAAGCGGGAGAATGGGGCGGGTGATGGAAAGCGGGTGAATGGGGCAGGGTGATGGAAAGCGGGAGAATAGGGCGGGGTGATGGAAAGCAGAAGAATGGGGCGGGGTGATGGAGAGCGGGAGAATGGGGCGAGGTGATGGAAAGCGGGAGAATGGGGCGGGTGATGGAAAGCGGGAGAATGGGGCGGGGAGATGGAAAGCGGGAGAAAGGGGCGGGGTGATGGAAGGAGGGAGAATGGGGAGGGGTGATGGAAAGCGGGGGAATGGGGCGGGATGATGGGAAGCGGAAGAATGGGGCGGGTTGATGGAAAGCGGGAGAATGGGGCGGGGTGTTGGAAAGCGGGAGAATGGGGCGGGGTGATGAAAAGCGGGAGAATGGGGCGGGGTGATGGAAAGTGGGAGAATGGGGCGGGGTGATGGAAAGTGGGAGAATGGGGCAGGTGATGGAAAGCGGGTGAATGGGGCGGGGTGATGGAAAGCAAGAGAATGGGGCGGGGTGATGGAAAGCGGGAGATGGGGCGAGGTGATGGAAAGCGGGAGAATGGGGCGTGTAATGGAAAGCGGGAGAATGGGGCGGGGTGATGGAAGGAGGGAGAATGGGGAGGGGTGATGGAGAGCGGGGGAATGGGGCGGGATGATGGGAAGCGGGAGAATGGGGCGGGGTGATGGAAAGCGGGAGAATGGGGCGGGGTGATGGAAAGCGGGAGAATGGGGCAGGGAGATGGAAAGCGGGAGAAAGGGGCGGGGTGATGGTTAGTGGGAGAAAGGGGCGGGGTGATGGTTAGTGGGAGAATGGCGCGGGGTGATGGAAAGCGGGAGAATGGGGCGGGGTGATGGAAAGCGGGAGAATGGGGCGGGGTGATGGAAAGCGGGAGAATGGTGCGGGGTGATGGAAAGCGGGAGAATGGGGCAGGGTGATGGAAAGCGGGAGAATGGGGCGGGGTGAAGGAAGGAGGGAGAACGGGGCGGGGTGATGGAAGGAGGAAGAAGGGGGCGGGGTGATGGAAAGCGAGAGAATGGGCCGGGGTGTTGGAAAGCGGGAGAATGGGGCGGGGTGATGAAAAGCGGGAGAATGGGGCGGGGTGATGGAAAGTGGGAGAATGGGGCGGGGTGATGGAAAGCGGGAGAATGGGGCCGGTGATGGAAAGCGGGTGAATGGGGCAGGGTGATGGAAAGCGGGAGAATGGGGCGGGGTGATAGAAAGCAGAAGAATGGGGCGGGGTGATGGAAAGCGGGAGAATGGGGCGAGGTGATGGAAAGCGGGAGAATGGGGCGGGTGATGGAAAGCGGGAGAATGGGGCGGGGAGATGGAAAGCGGGAGAAAGGGGCGGGGTGATGGAAGGAGGGAGAATGGGGCGGGGGGATGGAAAGCGGGAGAATGGGGCGGGGTGATGGAAGGAGGGAGAATGGGGCGGGGTGATGGAAAGCGGGAGAATGGGTCGGGGTGATGGAAAGCGGGAGAATGGGGCGGGGTGATGGAAAGCGAGAGAATGGGGCGGGGTGATAGAAGGAGGGAGAATGGGGAGGGGTGATGGAAAGCGGGGGAATGGGGCGGGATGATGGGAAGCGGAAGAATGGGGCGGGGTGATGGAAAGCGGGAGAATGGGGCGGGGTGATGGAAAGCGGGAGAATGGGGCGGGGAGATGGAAAGGGGGAGAAAGGGGAGGGGTGATGGAAAGCGGGAGAATGGGGCGGGCTGATGGAAAGCGGGAGAATGGGGCGGGGTGATGGAAAGAGGGAGAATGGGGCGGGGTGATGGAAGGAGAGAGAAGGGTGCGGGGTGATGGAAAGTGGAAGATTGTGGCGGGGTGATGGAAAGCAGGAGAATGGGTTGGGGTTATGGGAAGCGGGAGAATGGGGCGGGGTGATGGAAAGCGGGAGAATGGGGCGGGGTGATGGAAGGAGGGAGAATGGGGCGGGGTGATGGAAGGAGGGAGAATGGGGCGGGGTGATGGAAAGCGGGAGAATGGGGCGGGGTGATGGAAGGAGGGAGAATGGGGAGGGGTGATGGAAAGCGGGGGAATGGGGCGGGATGATGGGAAGCGGGAGAATGGGGCGGGGTGATGGAAAGCGGGAGAATGGGGCGGGGTGATGGAAAGCGGGAGAATGGGGAAGGGAGATGGAAAGCGGGAGAATGGAGCGGGGTGATCGAAAGCGGGAGAATGGGGCGGGTGATGGAAGGAGGAAGAAGGGGGCGGGGTGATGGAAAGCGAGAGAATGGGCTGGGGTGTTGGAAAGCGGGAGAATGGGGCGGGGTGATGAAAAGCGGGAGAATGGGGCGGGGTGATGGAAAGCGGGAGAATGGGGCGGGGTGATGGAAAGCGGGAGAATGGGGCGGGTGATGGAAAGCGGGTGAATAGGGCAGGGTGATGGAAAGCAAGAGAATGGGGCGGGGTGATGGAAAGCAGAAGAATGGTGCGGGGTGATGGAACGCGGGAGAATGGGGCGAGGTGATGGAAAGCGGGAGAATGGGGCGGGGTGATGGAAAGCGAGAGAATGGGGCGGGGTGATAGAAGGAGGGAGAATGGGGAGGGGTGATGGAAAGCGGGGGAATGGGGTGGGATGATGGGAAGCGGAAGAATGGGGCGGGGTGATGGAAAGCGGGAGAATGGGGCGGGGTGATGGAAAGCGGGAGAATGGGGCAGGGAGATGGAAAGGGGGAGAAAGGGGAGGGGTGATGGAAAGCGGGAGAATGGGGCGGGTTGATGGAAAGCGGGAGAATGGGGCGGGGTGATGGAAAGAGGGAGAATGGGGCGGGGTGATGGAAGGAGAGAGAAGGGTGCGGGGTGATGGAAAGTGGAAGATTGTGGCGGGGTGATGGAAAGCGGGAGAATGGGGTGGGGTTATGGGAAGCGGGAGAATGGGGCGGGGTGATGGAAAGCGGGAGAATGGAGCGGGGTGATGGAAGGAGGGAGAATGGGGCGGGGTGATGGAAGGAGGGAGAATGGGGCGGGGTGATGGAAAGCGGGAGAATGGGGCAGGGTGATGGAAGGAGGGAGAATGGGGAGGGGTGATGGAAAGCGGGGGAATGGGGCGGGATGATGGGAAGCGGGAGAATGGGGCGGGGTGATGGAAAACGGGAGAATGGGGCGGGGTGATGGAAAGCGGGAGAATGGGGAAGGGAGATGGAAAGCGGGAGAATGGAGCGGGGTGATGGAAAGCGGGAGAATGGGGCGGGTGATGGAAGGAGGAAGAAGGGGGCGGGGTGATGGAAAGCGAGAGAATGGGCTGGGGTGTTGGAAAGCGGGAGAATGGGGCGGGGTGATGAAAAGCGGGAGAATGGGGCGGGGTGATGGAAAGCGGGAGAATGGGGTGGGGTGATGGAAAGCGGGAGAATGGGGCGGGTGATGGAAAGCGGGTGAATGGGGCAGGGTGATGGAAAGCAGGAGAATGGGGCGGGGTGATGGAAAGCAGAAGAATGGGGCGGGGTGATGGAACGCGGGAGAATGGGGCGAGGTGATGGAAAGCGGGAGAATGGGGCGGGTGATGGAAAGTGGGAGAATGGGGCGGGGTGATGGAAGGAGGGAGATTGGGGAGGGGTGATGGAAAGCGGGGGAATGGGGCGGGATGATGGGAAGCGGAAGAATGGGGCGGGGTGATGGAAAGCGGGAGAATGGGGCGGTGTGATGGAAAGCGGGAGAATGGGGCAGGGTGATGGAAAGCGGGAGAATGGGGCGGGGTGAAGGAAGGAGGGAGAATGGGCCGGGGTGATGGAAGAAGGAAGAAGGGGGCGGGGTGATGGAAAGTGGGAAAATGTGGCGGGGTGATGGAAAGCGGGAGAATGGGGTAGGGTTATGGGAAGCGGGAGAATGGGGCGGGGTGATGGAAAGCGGGAGAATGGAGCGAGGTGATGGAATGAGGGAGAATGGGGCGGGGTTATGGGAAGCGGGAGAATGGGGCGGGGTGATGGAAAGCGGGAGAATGGGGCGGGGTGATGGAAGGAGGGAGAATGGGACGGGGTGATGGAAGGAGGGAGAATGGGGCGGGGTGATGGAAAGCGGGAGAATGGGGCGGGGTGATGGAAGGAGGGAGAATGGGGCGGGGTGATGGAAAGCGGGAGAATGGGGCGGGGTGATGGAAAGCGGGAGAATGGGGCGGGGTGATGGAAAGCGGGAGAATGGGGCTGGGTGATGGAAAGCGGGAGAATGGGGCGGGGTGATGGAAAGCGGGAGAATGGGGCGGGGTGATGGAAGGAGGGAGAATGGGGCGGGGTGATGGAAAGCGGGAGATTGGGGCAGGGTGATGGAAAGCGGGAGAATGGGGCGGGGTGATGGAAAGCGGAAAAATGGGGCCTGGTGATGGTAAGCGGGAGAATGGGGCGGGTGATGGAAGGAGGAAGAAGGGGGCGGGGTGATGGAAAGCGAGAGAATGGGCTGGGGTGTTGGAAAGCGGGAGAATGGGGCGGGGTGATGAAAAGCGGGAGAATGGGGCAGGGTGATGGAAAGCGGGAGAATGGGGTGGGGTGATGGAAAGCGGGAGAATGGGGCGGGTGATGGAAAGCGGGTGAATGGGGCAGGGTGATGGAAAGCAGGAGAATGGGGCGGGGTGATGGAAAGCAGAAGAATGGGGCGGGGTGATGGAACGCGGGAGAATGGGGCGAGGTGATGGAAAGCGGGAGAATGGGGAGGGTGATGGAAAGTGGGAGAATGGGGCGGGGTGATGGAAGGAGGGAGATTGGGGAGGGGTGATGGAAAGCGGGGGAATGGGGCGGGATGATGGGAAGCGGAAGAATGGGGCGGGGTGATGGAAAGCGGGAGAATGGGGCGGTGTGATGGAAAGCGGGAGAATTGGGCAGGGTGATGGAAAGCGGGAGAATGGGGCGGGGTGAAGGAAGGAGGGAGAATGGGCCGGGGTGATGGAAGAAGGAAGAAGGGGGCGGGGTGATGGAAAGTGGGAAAATGTGGCGGGGTGATGGAAAGCGGGAGAATGGGGTAGGGTTATGGGAAGCGGGAGAATGGGGCGGGGTGATGGAAAGCGGGAGAATGGAGCGGGGTGATGGAATGAGGGAGAATGGGGCGGGGTTATGGGAAGCGGGAGATTGGGGCGGGGTGATGGAAAGCGGGAGAATGGGGCGGGGTGATGGAAGGAGGGAGAATGGGACGGGGTGATGGAAGGAGGGAGAATGGGGCGGGGTGATGGAAAGCGGGAGAATGGGGCGGGGTGATGGAAGGAGGGAGAATGGGGCGGGGTGATGGAAAGCGGGAGAATGGGGCGGGGTGATGGAAAGCGGGAGAATGGGGCGGGGTGATGGAAAGCGGGAGAATGGGGCTGGGTGATGGAAAGCGGGAGAATGGGGCGGGGTGATGGAAAGCGGGAGAATGGGGCGGGGTGATGGAAGGAGGGAGAATGGGGCGGGGTGATGGAAAGCGGGAGATTGGGGCAGGGTGATGGAAAGCGGGAGAATGGGGCGGGGTGATGGAAAGCGGAAAAATGGGGCCTGGTGATGGTAAGCGGGAGAATGGGGCTAAGTGATGGAAAGCGGGAGAATGGGGCGGGGTGATGGAAGGAGGGAGAATGAGGCGGGGTGATGGAAGGAGGGAGAATGAGGCGGGGTGATGGAAGGAGGGAGAATGGGGCGGGGTGATGGAAAGTGGGAGAATGGGTCGGGGTGATGGAAAGCGCGAGAATGGGGCGGAGTGATGGAAAGCGGGAGAAAGGGGCGGGGTGATGGAAAGCGGGAGAATGGGGCGGGGTGATGGAAAGCGGGAGAAAGGGGCAGAGTGATGGACAGCGGGAGAATGGGGCGGGCTGATGGAAAGCGGGAGAATGGGGCGGGGTGATGGAAGGAGAAAGAAGGGGGCGGGGTGATGGAAAGTGGGAAAATGTGGCGGGGTGATGGAAAGCGGGAGAATGGGGTGGGGTTATGGGAAGCGGGAGAATGGGGCGGGGTGATGGAAAGCGGGAGAACGGGGTGGGGTGATAGAATGAGGGAGAATGGGGCGGGGTGATGGAAGGAGGGAGAATGGGGTGGGGTGATGGAAAGCGGGAGAATGGGGTAGGGTTATGGGAAGCGGGAGAATGGGGCGGGGTGATGGAAAGCGGGAGAATGGAGCGGGGTGATGGAATGAGGGAGAATGGGGCGGGGTTATGGGAAGCGGGACAATGGGGCGGGGTGATGGAAAGCGGGAGAATGGGGCGGGGTGATGGAAGGAGGGAGAATGGGACGGGGTGATGGAAGGAGGGAGAATGGGGCGGGGTGATGGAAAGCGGGAGAATGGGGCGGGGTGATGGAAGGAGGGAGAATGGGGCGGGGTGATGGAAAGCGGGAGAATGGGGCGGGGTGATGGAAAGCGGGAGAATGGGGCGGGGTGATGGAAAGCGGGAGAATGGGGCTGGGTGATGGAAAGCGGGAGAATGGGGCGGGGTGATGGAAAGCGGGAGAATGGGGCGGGGTGATGGAAGGAGGGAGAATGGGGCGGGGTGATGGAAAGCGGGAGATTGGGGCAGGGTGATGGAAAGCGGGAGAATGGGGCGGGGTGATGGAAAGCGGAAAAATGGGGCCTGGTGATGGTAAGCGGGAGAATGGGGCTAAGTGATGGAAAGCGGGAGAATGGGGCGGGGTGATGGAAGGAGGGAGAATGAGGCGGGGTGATGGAAGGAGGGAGAATGAGGCGGGGTGATGGAAGGAGGGAGAATGGGGCGGGGTGATGGAAAGTGGGAGAATGGGTCGGGGTGATGGAAAGCGGGAGAATGGGGCGGAGTGATGGAAAGCGGGAGAAAGGGGCGGGGTGATGGAAAGCGGGAGAATGGGGCGGGGTGATGGAAAGCGGGAGAAAGGGGCAGAGTGATGGACAGCGGGAGAATGGGGCGGGCTGATGGAAAGCGGGAGAATGGGGCGGGGTGATGGAAGGAGAAAGAAGGGGGCGGGGTGATGGAAAGTGGGAAAATGTGGCGGGGTGATGGAAAGCGGGAGAATGGGGTGGGGTTATGGGAAGCGGGAGAATGGGGCGGGGTGATGGAAAGCGGGAGAACGGGGTGGGGTGATAGAATGAGGGAGAATGGGGCGGGGTGATGGAAGGAGGGAGAATGGGGTGGGGTGATGGAAAGCGGGAGAATGGGGTAGGGTTATGGGAAGCGGGAGAATGGGGCGGGGTGATGGAAAGCGGGAGAATGGAGCGGGGTGATGGAATGAGGGAGAATGGGGCGGGGTTATGGGAAGCGGGAGAATGGGGCGGGGTGATGGAAAGCGGGAGAATGGGGCGGGGTGATGGAAGGAGGGAGAATGGGACGGGGTGATGGAAGGAGGGAGAATGGGGCGGGGTGATGGAAAGCGGGAGAATGGGGCGGGGTGATGGAAGGAGGGAGAATGGGGCGGGGTGATGGAAAGCGGGAGAATGGGGCGGGGTGATGGAAAGCGGGAGAATGGGGCGGGGTGATGGAAAGCGGGAGAATGGGGCTGGGTGATGGAAAGCGGGAGAATGGGGCGGGGTGATGGAAAGCGGGAGAATGGGGCGGGGTGATGGAAGGAGGGAGAATGGGGCGGGGTGATGGAAAGCGGGAGATTGGGGCAGGGTGATGGAAAGCGGGAGAATGGGGCGGGGTGATGGAAAGCGGAAAAATGGGGCCTGGTGATGGTAAGCGGGAGAATGGGGCTAAGTGATGGAAAGCGGGAGAATGGGGCGGGGTGATGGAAGGAGGGAGAATGAGGCGGGGTGATGGAAGGAGGGAGAATGAGGCGCGGTGATGGAAGGAGGGAGAATGGGGCGGGGTGATGGAAAGTGGGAGAATGGGTCGGGGTGATGGAAAGCGGGAGAATGGGGCGGAGTGATGGAAAGCGGGAGAAAGGGGCGGGGTGATGGAAAGCGGGAGAATGGGGCGGGGTGATGGAAAGCGGGAGAAAGGGGCAGAGTGATGGACAGCGGGAGAATGGGGCGGGCTGATGGAAAGCGGGAGAATGGGGCGGGGTGATGGAAGGAGAAAGAAGGGGGCGGGGTGATGGAAAGTGGGAAAATGTGGCGGGGTGATGGAAAGCGGGAGAATGGGGTGGGGTTATGGGAAGCGGGAGAATGGGGCGGGGTGATGGAAAGCGGGAGAACGGGGTGGGGTGATAGAATGAGGGAGAATGGGGCGGGGTGATGGAAGGAGGGAGAATGGGGTGGGGTGATGGAAAGCGGGAGAATGGGGCGGGGTGATGGAAGGAGGAAGAATGGGGCGGGGTGATGGAAAGCGGGAGAATGGGGCGGGGTGATGGAAAGCGGGAGAATGGGGCGGGGAGATGGAAAGCGGGAGAAAGGGGAGGGGTGATGGAAAGCTGGAGAATGGGGCGGGTTGATGGATAGCGGGAGAATGGGGCGGGGTGATGGAAGGAGGGAGAATGGGGCGGGGTGATGGAAATCGGGAGAATGGGGCGGGGTGATGGAAAGCAGGAGAAGGGGGTGGGGTTATGGGAAGCGGGAGAACAGGGCGGGGTGATGGAAAGTGGGAGAATGGGGCGGGGTGATGGAAGGAGGGAGAATGGGGCGGGGTGATGGAAGGAGGGAGAATGGGGCGGGGTGATGGAAAGCGGGAGAATGGGGCGGGGTGATGGAAGGAGGGAGAATGGGGCGGGGTGATGGAAAGCGGGAGAATGGGGCGGGGTGATGGAAAGCGGGAGAATGGGGCAGGGTGATGGAAAGCGGGAGAAAGGGGTAGAGTGATGGACAGCGGGAGAATGGGGCGGGCTGATGGAAAGCGGGAGAATTGGGCGGGGTGATGGAAGGAGGGAGAATGGGGCGGGGTGATGGAAGGAGAAAGAAGGGGGCGGGGTGATGTAAAGTGGGAAAATGTGGCGGGGTGATGGAAAGCGGGAGAATGGGGTGGGGTTATGGGAAGCGGGAGAATGGGGCGGGGTGATGGAAAGCGGGAGAATGGGGTGGGGTGATGGAAGGAGGGAGAACGGGGAAGGCTGATGGAAAGCGGGAGAATGGGGCGGGGTGATGGAAGGAGGAAGAATGGGGCGGGGTGATGGAAAGCGGGAGAATGGGGCGGGGTGATGGAAAGCGGGAGAAAGGGGAGGGGTGATGGAAAGCTGGAGAATGGGGCGGGCTGATGGATAGCGGGAGAATGGGGCGGGGTGATGGAAGGAGGGAGAATGGGGCGGGGTGATGGAAATCGGGAGAATGGGGCGGGGTGATGGAAAGCAGGAGAAGGGGGTGGGGTTATGGGAAGCGGGAGAACAGGGCGGGGTGTTGGAAAGCGGGAGAATGGGGCGGGGTGATGGAAGGAGGGAGAATGGGGCGGGGTGATGGAAGGAGGGAGAATGGGTCGGGGTGATGGAAAGCGGGAGAATGGGGCGGGGTGATGGAAGGAGGGAGAATGGGGCGGGGTGATGGAAAGCGGGAGAATGGGGCGGGGTGATGGAAAGCGGGAGAATGGGGCATGGTGATGAAAAGCGGGAGAATGGGGCTGCGTGATGGAAAGCGGGAGAATGGGGCGGGGTGATGGAAGGAGGGAGAATGGGGTGGGGTGATGGAAAGCGAGAGATTGGGGCAGGGTGATGGAAAGCGGGAGAATGGGGCGGGGTGATGGAAGGAGGGAGAATGGGGCGGGGAAATGGAAAGCGGGAGATTGGGGCAGGGTGATGGAAAGCGGGAGAATAGGGCGGGGTGATGGAAAGCGGAAAAATGGGGCGGGATGATGGAAAGCGGGAGAATGGGGCTAAGTGATGGAAAGCGGGAGAATGGGGCGGGGTGATGGAAAGCGGGAGAATGGGGCGGGGTGATGGAAGGAGGGGGAATGAGGCGGGGTGATGGAAGGAGGGAGAATGGGGCGGGGTGATGGAAAGTGGGAGAATGGGTCGGGGTGATGGAAAGCGGGAGAATGGGGCGGAGTGATGGAAGGTGGGAGAATGGGGCGGGGTGATCGAAAGCGGGAGAATGGGGCAGGGTGATGGAAAACGGGAGAATGGGGCGGGGTGATGGAAAGCAGGAGAAAGGGGCGGGGTGATGGAAAGCGGGAGAATGGGGCGGGCTGATGGAAAGCGGGAGAATGGGGCACAGTGATGGAAAGCGGGAGAATGGGGCGGGGTGATGGAAAGCGGGAGAATGGGGCGGGGTGATGGGAAGCGGGAGAAAGGGGCGGGGTGATGGACAGTGGGAGAATGGGGCGGGCTGATGGAAAGCGGGAGAATGGGGCAGGGTGATGGAAAGCGGGAGAATGGGGCGGGGTGATGGAAGGAGGAAGAATGGGGCGGGGTGATGGAAAGCGGGAGAATGGGGCGGGGTGATGGAAAGCGGGAGAATGGGGCGGGGAGATGGAAAGCGGGAGAAAGGGGAGGGGTGATGGAAAGCTGGAGAATGGGGCGGGCTGATGGAAAGCGGGAGAATGGGGCGGGGTGATGGAAGGAGGGAGAATGGGGCGGGCTGATGGAAGGAGAAAGAAGGGGGCGGGGTGATGGAAAGTGGGAAAATGTGGCGGGGTGATGGAAAGCGGGAGAATGGGGTGGGGTTATGGGAAGCGGGAGAATTGGGCGGGGTGATGGAAAGCGGGAGAATGGGGCGGGGTGATGGAAGGAGGAAGAATGGGGCGGGGTGATGGAAAGCGGGAGAATGGGGCGGGGTGATGGAAGGAGGAAGAATGGGGCGGGGTGATGGAAGGAGGGAGAATGGGGCGGGGTGATGGAAGGAGGGAGAATGGGGCGGGGTGATAGAATGAGGGAGAATGGGGCGGGGTGATGGAAGGAGGGAGAATGGGGCGGGGTGATGGAAAGCGGGAGAATGGGGCGGGGTGATGGAAGGAGGAAGAATGGGGCGGGGTGATGGAAAGCGGGAGAATGGGGCGGGGTGATGGAAAGCGGGAGAATGGGGCGGGGAGATGGAAAGCGGGAGAAAGGGAAAGGGTGATGGAAAGCTGGAGAATGGGGCGGGCTGATGGATAGCGGGAGAATGGGGCGGGGTGATGGAAGGAGGGAGAATGGGGCGGGGTGATGGAAATCGGGAGAATGGGGCGGGGTGATGGAAAGCAGGAGAAGGGGGTGGGGTTATGGGAAGCGGGAGAACAGGGTGGGGTGATGGAAAGCGGGAGAATGGGGCGGGTGATGGAAGGAGGGAGAATGGGGCGGGTTGATGGAAGGAGGGAGAATGGGGCGGGGTGATGGAAAGCGGGAGAGTGGGGCGGGGTGATGGAAGGAGGGAGAATGGGGCGGGGTGATGGAAAGCGGGAGAATGGGGCAGGGTGATGAAAAGCGGGAGAATGGGGCTGCGTGATGGAAAGCGGGAGAATGGGGCGGGGTGATGGAAGGAGGGAGAATGGGGTGGGGTGATGGAAAGCGAGAGATTGGGGCAGGGTGATGGAAAGCGGGAGAATGGGGCGGGGTGATGGAAGGAGGGAGAATGGGGCGGGGTGATGGAAAGCGGGAGATTGGGGCAGGGTGATGGAAGGAGGGAGAATGGGGCGGGGTGATGGAAAGCGGGAGAATGGGGCAGGGTGATGAAAAGCGGGAGAATGGGGCTGCGTGATGGAAAGCGGGAGAATGGGGCGGGGTGATGGAAGGAGGGAGAATGGGGTGGGGTAATGGAAAGCGAGAGATTGGGGCAGGGTGATGGAAAGCGGGAGAATGGGGCGGGGTGATGGAAGGAGGGAGAATGGGGCAGGGTGATGGAAAGCGGGAGATTGGGGCAGGGTGATGGAAAGCGGGAGAATGGGGCGGGGTGATGGAAAGCGGAAAAATGGGGCGGGATGATGGAAAGCGGGAGAATGGGGCTAAGTGATGGAAAGCGGGAGAATGGGGCGGGGTGATGGAAAGCGGGAGAATGGGGCGGGGTGATGGAAGGAGGGGGAATGAGGCGGGTTGATGGAAAGTGGGAGAATGGGTCGGGGTGATGGAAAGCGGGAGAATGGGGCGGAGTGATGGAAGGTGGGAGAATGGGGCGGGGTGATGGAAAGCGGGAGAATGGGGCAGGGTGATGGAAAACGGGAGAATGGGGCGAGGTGATGGAAAGCAGGAGAAAGGGGCGGGGTGATGGAAAGCGGGAGAATGGGGCGGGCTGATGGAAAGCGGGAGAATGGGGCACGGTAATGGAAGGAGGGAGAATGGGGCGGGGTGATGGAAGGAGAGAGAAGGGGGCGGGGTGATGGAAAGTGGGAAAATGTGGCGGGGTGATGGAAAGCGGGAGAATAGGGTGGGGTTATGGGAAGCGGGAGAATGGGGCGGGGTGATGGAAAGCGGGAGAAAGGGGCGGGGTGATGGAATGAGGGAGAATGGGGCGGGGTGATGGAAGGAGGGAGAATGGGACGGGGTGATGGAAAGCGGGAGAATGGGGCGGGGTGATGGAAGGAGGAAGAATGGGGCGGGGTGATGGAAAGCGGGAGAATGGGGCGGGGTGATGGAAAGCGGGAGAATTGGGCGGGGTGATGGAAAGCGAGAGAATGGGGCGGGGTGATGGAAGGAGGGAGAATGGGGAGGGGTGATGGAAAGCGGGGGAATGGGGCGGGATAATGGGAAGCGGAAGAATGGGGCGGGGTGATGGAAAGCGGGAGAATGGGGCGGGGTGATGGGAAGCGGGAGAATGGGGCGGGGAGATGGAAAGTGGGAGAAAGGGGAGGGGTGATGGAAAGCGGGAGAATGGGGCGGGCTGATGGAAAGCGGGAGAATGGGGCGGGGTGATGGAAGGAGGGAGAATGGGGCAGGGTGATGGAAGGAGAGAGAAGGGGGCGGGGTGATGGAAAGTGGGAGAATGTGGCGGGGTGATGGAAAGCGGGAGAATGGGGTGGGGTTATGGGAAGCGGGAGAATGGGGCGGGGTGATGGAAAGCGGGAGAATGGGGCGGGGTGATGGAAAGCAGGAGAATGGGGCGGGGTGATGGAAGGAGGGAGAATGGGGCGGGATGATGGAAAGCGGGAGAATGGGGCGGGGTGATGGAAAGCGGGAGAATGGGGCAGGGTGATGGAAAGCGGGAGAATGGGGCGGGGTGATGGAAATCGGGAGAATGGGGCGGGGTGATGGAAAGCGGGAGAATGGGGCGGGGTGATGGAAGGAGGGAGAATGGGGCGGGGTGATAGAAAGCGGGAGAATGTGGCGGGGTGATGGAAAGCGGGAGAAGGGGGTGGGGTTATGGGAAGCGGGCGAATGGGGCGGGGTGATGGAAAGCGGGAGAATGGGGCGGGGTGATGGAAGGAAGGAGAATGGGGCGGGGTGATGGAAGGAGGGAGAATGGGGCGGGGTGATGGAAAGCGGGAGAATGTGGCGGGGTGATGGAAGGAGGGAGAATGGGGCGGGGTGATGGAAAGCGGGAGAATGGGGCGGGGTGATGGAAAGCGGGAGAATGGGGCTGGGTGATGGAAAGCGGGAGAATGGGGCGGGGTGATGGAAAGTGGGAGAATGGGGCGGGGTGATGGAAGGAGGGAGAATGGGGTGGGGTGATGGAAAGCGGGAGATTGGGGCAGGGTGATGGAAAGCGGGAGAATGGGGCGGGGTGATGGAAAGCGGGAAAATGGGGCGGAGTGATGGAAAGCGGGAGAATGGGGCTGGGTGATGGAAAGCGGGAGAATGGGGCGGGGTGATGGAAAGCGGGAGAATGGGGCGGGGTGATGGAAGGAGGGAGAATGGGGCGGGGTGATGGAAAGTGGGAGAATGGGTCGGGGTGATGGAAAGCGGGAGAATGGGGCGGAGTGATGGAAAGCGGGAGAATTAGGCGGGGTGATGGAAAGCGGGAGAATGGGGCGGGGTGATGGAAAGCGGGAGAATGGGGCGGGGTGATGGAAAGCGGGAGAATGGGGCGGGGTGATGGAAAGCGGGAGAATGGGGCGGGTGATGGAAAGCGGGTGAATGGGGCAGGGTGATGGAAAGCGGGAGAATGGGGCGGGGTGATGGAAAGCGGGAGAATGTGGCGGGTGATGGAAAGGGGGAGAATGGGGCGGGGTGATGGAAGGAGGGAGAATGGGGAGGGGTGATGGAAAGGGGGGGAATGGGATGGGATGATGGGAAGCGGAAGAATGGGGCGGGGTGATGGAAAGCGGGAAAATGGGGCGGGCTGATGGAAAGCGGGAGAATGGGGCAGGGTGATGGAAGGAGGGAGAATGGGGCGGGGTGTTGGAAGGAGAGAGAAGGGGGCGGGGTGATGGAAAGTGGGAGAATGGGGTGGGGTGATGGAAGGAGGGAGAATGGGGCGGGGTGATGGAAGAAGGGAGAATGGGGCGGGGTGATGGAAGGAGGGAGAATGGGGAGGGGTGATGGAAGGAGGGAGAATGGGGCGGGATGATGGAAAGCGGGAGAAAGGGGCGGGGTGATGGAAAGCGGGAGAATGGGGCGGGCTGATGGAAAGCGGGAGAATGGGGCGGGGTGATGGAAGGAGGGAGAATGGGGCGGGGTGATGGAAGGAGGGAGAATGGGGAGGGGTGATGGAAAGACGGGGAATGGGGCGGGAAAGCGGGAGAATGGGGTGGGGTTATGGGAAGCAAGAGAATGGGTCGGGGTGATGGAAAGCGGGAGAATGGGGCGGGGTGATGGAAGGAGGGAGAATGGGGCGGGGTTATGGGAAGCAGGAGAATGGGGCGGGGTGATGGAAAGCGGGAGAATGGGGTGGGGTGATGGAAGGAGGGAGAATGGGGCGGGGTGATGGAAGGAGGGAGAATAGGGCGGAGTGATGGAAAGCGGGAGAATGGGGCGGGGTGATGGAAAGCGGGAGAATGGGGCGGGATGATGGAAAGCGGGAGAATGGGGCGGGGTGATGGAAAGCGGGAGAATGGGGCGGGGTGATGGAAAGCGGGAGAATGGGGCGGGGTGATGGAAATCGGGAGAATGGGGCGGGGTGATGGAAAGCGGGAGAATGAGGTGGGGTTATGGGAAGCGGTGGGGCGGGGTGATGGAAAGCGGGAGAATGGGGCGGGGTGATGGAAAGCAGGAGAATGGGGCGGGGTGATGGAAGGAGGAAGAATGGGGCGGGGTGATGGAAAGCGGGAGAATGAGGCGGGGTGATGGAAAGCGGGAGAATGGGGCGGGGTGATGGAAAGCGGGAGAATGGGGCGGGGTGATGGAAAGCGGGAGAATGGGGCGGGGTGATGGAAGGAGGAAGAAGGGGGCGTGGTGATGGAAAGCGGGAGAATGGGGCGGGGTGATGGAAAGCGGGAGAATGGGGCGGGGTGATGGAAGGCGAGAGAATGGGGCGGGGTGATGGAAAGCGGGAGAATGGGGCGGGGTGATGAAAAGCGGGAGAATGGGGCGGGGTGATGGAAAGCGGGAGAATGGGGCGGGGTGATGGAAGGAGGGAGAATGAGGCTGGGTGATGGAAGGAGGGAGAATGGGGCGGGGTGATGGAAAGTGGGAGAATGGGTCGGGGTGATGGAAAGCGGGAGAATGGGGCGGAGTGATGGAAAGCGGGAGAATGGGGCGGGGTGATGGAAAGCGGGAGAATGGGGCGGGGGGATGGAAAGCGGGAGAATGGGGTGGGGTGATGGAAAGCGGGAGAATGGGGCGGGGTGATAGAAAGCGGGAGAATGGGGCGGGTGATGGAAAGCGGGTGAATGGGGCAGGGTGATGGAAAGCGGGAGAATGGGGCGGGGTGATGGAAGGAGGGAGAATGGGGCGGGATGATGGAAAGCGGGAGAATGGGG